TATAGGATGAGCAACGGACCTGTGAGAGAGAGAGAGAGAGAGAGAGAGAGAGAGAGAGAGAGAGAGAGAGAGAGAGAGAGAGAGTTTTCCATCTATAGGATGAGCAACGGACCGACGAACAGGTAAGTCTTGAACCTTGCGGCTGGCCTAATGCCACTTCCATCGATAGGATGAGCAAAATCGAATGAATCTAACTCTATAACATGGAAATATACACGGCCACTACTTGTTTGTGTGAGTGTGTGTGTGTGTGTGTGGGTGTGTGTGTGAGAGAGAGAGAGAGCGAGAGAGAGAGAGAGAGAGAGTTTTCCATCGATGGGATGACCAAAATCGAATGAATCTACCTCTAGAACATGGAAATATACACTGCCACTACTTGTTTGTTTGCGTGTGTGTTTGTGTGCGTGTGTGAGAGAGAGAGGGAGAGAGAGAGAGGCGCCCACCTTCATGGCTGCCCGCTGCCGTCTCCCGCTGCCGGCTGCGGCTCCCCGCCACTGCTTCGAGCCGTTCTTGTCCAGCCGCTGCCGTCCGTTGATGGTGCCCCGTCGTGTCTCTCCCTCCCTCCGTTGCACTCGCCGTGTCCCTCCCTCCCTGCCCCGCCGTGTCCCTCCCTTCCTCCTTCGTCCGCCGTGTCCCTCCCTCCCACCTTCCCGCCGCTGCTCAAACACCTTCCCGCCGCTGCTCCAGCATCTTCCCGCCGCTGCTCAAACACCTTCCCGCCGGTGCCGTCCCCGTTTTCGAAAAACTTTTTTGGGGATTTTCGAATTCGGCAGGCCCTTCCCCCAAAAAACATTTATGCAGGCGGGGCGCGGTCGGTTTGCCTAGTGGCGCGCCCCAATCTTCATTTTTGCCGGGGTGGGGGCCCGCCGTCCTACCGAACCCCCCCCCAAAAAAAAAAATTCACCGACCCCTATTTATCGTCGTGCGCGGCGCGGCGTGCGCAAACCGTGTGCAAACCGTGCGCAAACCGGCGCACCGACGTGCGCCGCAACTATGATTTCAAGCGATTGAGTGATTGTCAATGGTGCATATTCATTCATCATCTTAATGGCTGAGAATCTAATCTACCAGAGTGGCCGGGAGTAAGTTGCCCGGCCATGCCAAAATCCGCGCCGAATTGTTTTTTACAGCCGAGAGCTGGTTGTTGAGTCTGTACGATGTAGTGGAAGACTCGCAGGCACAAGCCTGTAAGCTATAAGCTGGATGCTGCTTCCAGATAGCTCCGGGCAGGATGTGAGGTCCCGGGCCTCGAACATGCTTGAAAGCTGAACGTTGAGGGAGTTGTCGTATGTATGTATATAAAAAAAGGCAAGGATTAAAAAACAAAACAAAGTAACAACAAACACGAGGGGCAAACTTCGACGAAACAGTTTGTCACAGCCGGTCCCTCGTTTGTTGTCCTCTTCTCCCTCTCTGCCTACGGTTCACCGGGCAGCTGTGTTTGACGATGTATATTGATGATATATAATAATTTTTTATTTTTATTTATTTATTTGATGTTTGGCAAATAATTTCAATGCGACCCTGGAGGCTGAAGCTCTTAAAGTTTCTTTTTCTGCATCATTTTTTTTTTCGTTTTTTTAACTTTTTTTTTTTTTTTTTTTTTTTTTTTTTTTTTTTTTTTTTT